AACAGGGCTGATGTCATCCAGTGTCTCACAGCTCTATCAGCTTTTACTTAAAACCTCCTCTTCCATAATTCATATTAGTGGACAAAATAAAGCTCAGAAAGGGGCCTGAGCACCTTCTAAAGCAATCCCTACACACAGGTCCCTGCTGGGGAAAGTGACCCAGGTATGTCCCTAATCACAAGACTCCGTGCTGGCACCTGTGCTGACTGGACCTGGGCCGGGCACTAACCCAAGACAGCCAGACTGGCATCTCCAGACACCGCCCGCCGTGTGAGCACCAGACAACCCAGATTCTCCTTCTGAATGGAACGCAGAGAATCTGCAGCAGGATCGGTTAGTTGCAAGAGCAAAACTGAAAGGTAGAGAAACAGAAATAAGAGCTGTGTGAGACCATCTTTACCCTCATCTCCCCTGGCGTGACCTCTCTGCCCTCCTCCCTCTGACAGTTCAAAATGGACAGGATATGCTTTAAATGCAGGAAGCAGAGACGTCCTTCCTTTTGTTTCCTCTCTTGCGCTTCCAGTTTTCTGCCTCTTCGTGACAAACGAACCTAGACACAGGGCAGGCTGCCTTTCCCTCTGTCCACTTCCTTGCTTCACATCCCCAGATGGGCAAATGGACTCAGAGCCCTTCTCACAGGCAAGTTATCAGTTAGTCATTGCGTTCAGCTTCCAGTCACAGTGGCCCAAGCATTGTGACTTAAAGACAGAAAGATATTACCTTTCTCACTTTCTCTGCTCTCTCTGGAGCACAGTAGTCACTGGTGTGGTTTCACAAACTCAGAAACTTAGGATTGAGATTCTCTTGGCTTTTCGCTCGTGGTTGGAGCTCCAACCGTAACATCTTAGTTCAGGCACAGAAAGAAGAAAAGGAGACAAGGGCTTTCTAAAAAATCCCACTCAATGTCTTCTTCTTGTGTCTCATTGGCTACTATTATCTGAAGGAAAGATGGGAAATGCAGTTTATTTTTAGTTAATATTGACATACCCAATAACACAGGGGTTCTGTTGGCAATGAAAAGGAGAGAACTAATAGTCTGCAGGCAATTAGCAATAACTACCATGAACAGAATGGCAAGTTGGATGCGTGGATTCTGCCTAGGTCTGCTGCATGCTCCAAACCAAGTTGTACCAGAGTTCCACCTTGGGAGCTTTCAGACGCTGGTCTAGCTTTCAATAAAGTAACACACACCCTACACCCCATTTCCCTGCTGCTCCTCTCATGTAATCGGAGTGATTGGCAGAGCTGGATTTGGGAATTCCCGGGACTCTTGGCTACATGCCATCTAAAAGCATCAACATCCTAACTCCTCACTTAGTAACCTTGGCCAAGATATCTAACTAACCTTCCTGAAACTCCATTTTGTCATCAGTAAAATGGAAGTATCACTACACTCTTCACACAGCAACTCTGAGATTAAAGGACATTCAGCCTGCCATAGCATGATAAATGGTGTCTAAAATTTCCCTTCTGTGACATACGCGTCACATTATTGCAGGAGTAAATCAATGACTGGGGTGAGCCTGCACGGAGAGCAGGCCAGGAATTCCAGGTCTCACAGTGGCCTGGCGCCACCTCGTGGCAGCTGCTGAGTAATGATAGGAAGATTCTGGATCCCAAGCTGGCTTTGACTTGGGAAAATGGGAGGGATTACATGACTCTTCAGTTCGATTATCTGGGGAGGTCGGAGACACAAGACTCATCCGCAGGTGCCATGCTTCCTAAGAGCAACTTACCTGTTCTTTCCCACTGGTCTCAGACAACCCTCTGAGGCAGGAGATAGACAGGCCCCAGGCTGAGCAGCTGGAGTCTGTCCCCTGTGGACAGATAGTCCAAGATAAATATAATGGCAGGAGCAGGGAGGACCTGAGTGCCGCCCAGATAAAAGATAAAGAGACCACATATTTCCATTCTTGAGGTCAAGGAGACTTACCCAACTACACAGGAGCAGAAAGGCTCCTCGGGGGCCAAAAAGGGAGGGGGCGCCACCCCATAATAGGTGGTGTCAACCTTCCCATAGGCCTCTGTGCTGGAATCCATCTTGGCTAAGAGATGCACAGGCACACAGGGGAGGACCCGGAGTTAAACCAAATACGGACTCAGAGCCAGGCAAAGCGACATGATTGGCCAGAGGAAACCCAGAAGAAATGCCCACATAAGTGATTCAAACCACCACGGAGGCGCGACTCTCTCTCTGAGCCAGCCCGTGTGCGCCTATTCACAGGTACTTTTTTCCTCCTAATAAACACTTTACTTGTTTCACTACTTTCCATTTCTTTGCTGAAATTTATTTCTACAAAGCAGACAAGCCAGGGACTTCTCACTGGCCACTGGCCCTCATGGTCTAGTGGCTAGGATTCAGCGCTCTCACTGCTGTGGCCTGACTTCAATCTCTGGTCAGGGAACTGAGACCTTGCTTCAAGCCACTGCAGGCCGAGGCCACCCAAGATCACCTCCATAACTGTCTAACCACAGGGTAAGAACTGAAGCCAGTCCCTAGGTAGGAATGGGGGCAGGTGCCAGACGAGAAGAAGCCAATCATGGATCACTTTATATTATAATTCTCACAGAAGTGAGAGAAACAGTCTTGGTCAGGAGCCCAGCCCCTCCAGTCTCACCTGCTACAAGGCAGCACTGGCCTCGTCTCACCCATCAGAGCACAGGGCTTCTTCCTACCCTGGCACCTTCCTGGGGGCAATATCCTCCATCGTCACCATGGCCCTACTTCAGAACAACACCATCCCAGTCATCTGTTTCCTGTCAGCTGTCTGTCCCGTTAACATTAAATTGTTTCTTTCATTTACCTCTCTTATCTCAAGTCGTTTAGCCATACTTTCCCATCTAAATTAAAATGATCTCTCTCCCTGAGGAATACACTCTTTCACGTATAAACTGCCATTTCTTCACAATTCCTGTTGTCTTGGCTTCCTTTCTCAAGGCCTCATGGGACTGCCCTGCTGTCTCTCCCCCTCCACCCCTTTGCTTTGCATCTAGATAATTAAGTAGGTGAGGGAGAGTGAGGTTGCAGGGACTGAGGAATCTCAGCTCAGTGATGTTCAAACAGGAAGCTCACTTTGTTCTCAGAAACGTACATACTTTCTTAAAATAGCCAAGATATGAAAGCAACCTAAGTGCCCATCAACACATGAATGGATAAAGAAGATGTGATGTGTGTGTGTGTGTGTATATATATATAGAGAGAGAGAGAGTGTGTGTGTGTGTGAAATACTACTCAGCCATAAAAAAGAATGAAAATTTGCAATTTGCAACAACATAGATGGACCTGGAGAGTATTCTGCTTAGCGAAATAAGTCAGAGAACAACAAATATTGTATGTTTTCACTTACATGTGAAACCTATATATATTTGGTGAGAACATTTAAGTTTTACTCTCTAAGCAAATTTTATTAATACAATTCAATGTTATACATTGTATGTTATACACTGGATCCTCAGACTTTATTTGTACCCTTTTACCAATCTCTCCTTATTTCTCCCACCTCCCAACCACTGGCAATCACTGTTTTACTCTTTGTTTCTATGTTTGACTCTTTTTCTCGTATTCCACATACAGTAGAAGTGATACCACGCACTATTTGTCTTTCTCTGTCCGGCTTATTTCACTTCGCACAATGTCCTCATGGTCCATCCATGTTGTCGCAAATCACAGGACTCCCTTTTTCTCATGCCTGAATAATATTCCACCGTATCCATTCATCCATTAACGGACCCTTGGGTTGTTGCCGTATCTTGGCTATTGTGAATAATGCTGCAACAAACATGGGAATGAGGACATATCTTTGAGATCCTTTTGCATTCCCTTTGGATATATACCCAGAAGAGGAACTGCTGGATCATATGATAGTTCTATAACTAGCATTTATTGATTGGACGTCATGTGCCAAGCATAATCCCAGTCATGTTACATGTGTCAATTCGGGTCATCCTCCCAACCCTCTGAGGTAGCCATTATTTTGTTCGTCATCTCTATTTCATATGAGATGAGCGAAGAGGGTTCAATAACTTGCCAAGTTCTCACAGAGAGGAAGCAGCAGAGCCAGGCCTTGACCTGAAAGAGCCTGGCTCTAGAGCCCACACTCTGAACCCAGAGCGCCCTTCAGAGGAGGACATCTGAGAAGGGACAGAGGCTCTGATTATGTACACAGGACCCTCTAGGCCACTGTGAAAACTTGGCTGATACGGTGAAGGAGATGGGGGGCCCTGAAAGGTTTGAACAGAGCAATGACATGATCTTAGTTATATGTTAACAGGATCGCTATTGCTGCTTTGTAGAAAGTGGGGTATGGGAGGGAGGGTGGGAAGCAGACAGAGCAGTTGTAAGGCTTCGGCAATGATCCAGGCCAGATACCCACCCCCTACCCCTTCATAGCAAGATGCTGGCCTTGTCCATGTTAATACTCCTCTTGCCAAGCACAGTACCTGGCATAATAATGATGGTTGAATGAAATCTTTGGCAATGGCAGTCATACTAGTCATACAGGGGAGGAACCATGCACTTGTCCATATTAAAAACATAGTCTATGATCAGTCACCCTCAGGGGTGATAGAAGGCATGCAAATGGAGAGAGGCACCATCTCAAAGCCTAGTTCACAGAGAATATATGCTTTGTCTGCTGCCAGTTTCCTTAAAACCCATAAGCAAATCCTGCTCTCCTCTCCACTCATGTGGGTCCAGATGGGCATGCAAAACTGGGCTTGGGAAATCAAGACCTTGTCTTATTTGCATCCCTCATGCCAGGCCATGGTCCTCTGGGAAGGCTGTTGTTACAGAAACACCTGGGTTTATTCAAAGCTTCTGCATCACCCAAGAGATAGAACCATCACTCTTCTACTCTTATGATGAGCCTTTGTGTGTATCCAAGAGATATTCTAAAGCAACAATATCCCTCTAAGTTTACTGTCAGAACGTTTTATGCACTCACTCTGGGATAGCTCTAGAGCAAGAGCTGGATGTCTTGTAAAGGAAAGGTCGTGGCTCAGAATGTACACTTACCCTTCTCTGCTGGGCGGTGTTTGAGTCTTAGATTAGCCAAGTAAGAAGAGACATCATGGTGACTCTGACTGCCACTGTAACTGTGCCCTATGAAGTCAGGAATGCATTTCTGTTCTTTTCAGTCCTGGAGTTTGCAGTAGGGATCCTGGTCAATGCCTTCATTTTCTTGATGAATTTTTGGGTCGTGGTGAGGAGGTGGCCACTGAGCAACTGTGATCTTGTCCTGCTGAATCTCAGCCTCACCTGGCTTTTCCTGCACGGGCTGCTCTTTCTGGATGCCATCCAGCTTACCCACTTCCAGTGGATAGAAGACCCGCTGGGCCTCTGCTACCAGACCATCCTCATGCTCTGGATGCTCGTATATCAAGCTGGCCTCTGGCTCACCACTTGCCTTAGTCTCCTCTACTGCTCCAGGACTGTCCATTTCTTTCACACCTTCCTCCTCCGCTTGGCAAGCTGGATCTCCAGGAAGATCCCCCAGATGCTCCTGGGTGCTACTCTTTCCTCCTGTGTCTGCACTGTTCTCTATTTGTGGGACTTTTTCAATAGATCTCACTTCTCAGTTGCAACCATGCTACTCATGAATAACAATACTCAATTGAGAAACTGAGAAAACTCAATTTCTATCATTCCTTCCTCTTCTGCAGCCTGGGGTCCACCCCTTCTTTCTTGCTTTTTCTGGTTTCTTCTGGGGTGCTGATTGTCTCCCTGGGGAGGCACATGAGGACAAGGAGGGCCAAAACCAGAGACTCTCGGGACCCCAGCCTGGAGGCCCACATCAAAGCACTCGGGTCTCGTCTCTTTCTTCTACCTGTATATGGTATCCTTCTGCGCTGGCTTCATCTCGGTGCCTTTGCTGATGCTGTGGCACAACAAGATCGGGGTCATGGTCTGTGCAGGGATACTGGCAGCCTGCCCCTCGGGGCACACAGTCATCCTGATCTCAGGCAATGCCAAGCTGAAGAGAGCCGTGGAGACCATTCTGCTCCGGGCTCAGAGCAGCCTAAAGGTAAGGGCGGACCGCAAGGCAGATCCCAGGATGCCAGATCTATGTTGAGAGTGGACACGAAACGGGCTCTTCATAACTATGCCTCTGATTGTTCATAAAGCCTTCAGAAACCGATTCCAATTTCTTTTCTAAAGTATAACTCCAAGTCTCTCTACTTTACATCCATGATCCCACCCACAGTAGAATAAAATAATTAAAGCTCTACACATGGCCTAGGCAAGTATAATGGCATTGGTTGTCTAGGTGTGTCTTGATAAAATGAACAAAATAGAGAAGTGAAGTGCTCAGTGTAAATTCTTTGTATACTATAGCTTACTAGTGCTTGATATGAGCCAAACCATGAGAAATCACCTCTTACGAAATGATATCTAAATCCCAAGATAGCATGGTTGGTTTTTCACATGACTGCTATTTCTTAACATGAGTGCTAGTGGGACTTCCCCGGTGGTCCAGTGGTTAAGACTCCACGCTCCCAAAGCAGGGGCCCTGGATTCGATCCCTGGTCAGGGAACTAGATCCCGCAAGCCGCAACTAAGATCTGGCACAGCCAAATAAATAAATATTAAAAAAAAAAATAGGTGCTAGCATATAATATTTAAACATATTCACTACTATGGCAATTATATTATCCTCCTCAAGCTCCACAATATTCATGGAAACACAGATATGAAAAGACAAACTTGGAAGAAAAAGGTGTCATCACTTCAGCTTCAAGAGGTACTACATGAAAACGCCTACAGGAACCAGAGGATGGGTCATTTTGCCTGAAAATGCACTGATTCAGAAATGTACATTCACCTGCTTTAGAGTGGGAGAAAAAGACGGGTAGATACTTGCTCAGTGGGTGCCTGTGTGTGTCTCCTGGCTCTACTCCACTTGCTCATGAGGACAGTGCTTTGCCTGGTGCCAAGCACCGGTCAGTCTAGTTGGGGAACCTACCAAAATAGCCTCGCTAAAAGGCCTATTTGTGGAGACCGGCATTCTCTGCCTGCCTGCCAGGAATCTAGCCGGGAAGGCTTTCCTCAAATTACATCCTAAATGGCTCAGCAGAGAGAAAGGTACACCAGACATAGATCTTTATGGGCTTCAAACCAGCCCAGCCTGGTTCTGCCAGCTGTGGGTGCTGCCGAGTACTGCTTCCTCCTCCCAGGACCTGTTCTTGATAACTCCACTCCTTCCTCTCAGTTTTCCCAAATTACCCTTTTTGCCACCTCCAATGGCTGCAAAATTTGTGCCTTCCTCTGGTTTCCTTTCCTTGGTGGACACCAAAGTTGTCCTAGGTTTTCCTCAAAGACAGTGGTCTTCCTACTCTTGGCTTCACATTAAAATTGCCCGGGGAGCTTTTAAAATCTCGATGCCCAGGCCATTAGGAGTGGAATTACTGTGTCATAAAGTTGATGTACATTTAGCTTTACAAGAAACTGCTAGAGTTTTCCAGAGCGATTCTAGCATTTCATGCTCCCATCAACAGTGTAGGAGAGCTGTTCTACATTTTCACCACATTTGGTATTGTCAGTCTTTTTTAATTTGGGCCATTCTAGTGGAGGTGAATGGTATCTCGATCTCGTTGTGGTTTTAATTTGCATTTCCCTGACAACTAGTAATATGGAGCACCTTTTCATGTGGTCCATGGCCATTTGAACACCTTCTATTATAAAGCTACTATTTGACTTGTTTGCCCCTTTTTTTAATATTCAGTTGTCTTTTTATTATTTCTTTGTAGAATTTTATTGATCTGCAGCATTTGTGTGTATGTTCTTAAAAAAAAATATATATATATATATATATAATATTCAGCCTGTAAAAAACTAAAAATAGAGTTACCATATGATCCAGCAATCCCACTCCCAGACATATATCCAGAAAAGATGAAAACTCTAATTCAAAAAGATACACGAACCCCAATGTTCACAGCAGCACTATTTACAATAGCCAAGACATGGAAGCAACCTAAATGTCCACTGACAGACGAATGGATAAATAAGATGTGGTATATATATAAATACAATGGAATATTACTCAGTCATAAGAAAGAATCCATTTCCAGCAACATGGACTGACCTAGAGATTATCATACTAAGTGAAGTAAGTCAGAAAGGTAAGACAAATATCATATGATATCACTTATATGTGGAATCTTAAAAAATGATACAAATGAACTTATTTACAAAGCAGAACAGACTCACAGACATAGAAAACAAACTTATGGCTACCAAAGGGGAAAGGGGGCAGGGAGGGATAAATTAGGAGTCTGGGATTAGCAAATACAAACTACTACATATAAAATAGATAAACAACAAGGCCCTACTGTAGTATAGCACAGGGAACTATATTCAATATCTTGTAATAAACTACAATGGAAAAAAATATTTAGTCTAACAATCTATGAACAGGATATAGCTCTTCATTTATTTGTCTATAATTTCTCTCAGCAATATTTTATAGTTTTTAGTGTAGAGGTCTTGCATGTCTTTTGATTAAATTATCCCTAGGTATTTAATATTTTATAATGTTACATACAGTAATGTTAAATGGGGTATTTAAATTTTCATATTTCAATTATTTGCTGCTAGTTTATAAAATTTTTGTACATTAACCATGTATCTTGTCACTTTCCTAAATGAATTTAATAGTGCCAATAGTTTTTTGTAGGTTCTTTGAAATTTCATACTGAAACAATCATGCCATCAGCAAATAAGAGAACTTATATCTCCCTTCTCAATCTTTATGGCCTTTATTTAACTAATTTCACTGGCTGGAACCATCAGTACAATCTTGATTAGAAGTAATGTGAGTATACATTCTGCCTCTTTCCTGATCTTACAAAGAAAACATTATTTCATCATTGAGTATAATATCAGCTGTAGATCTCTTATAGATCTCCTTTATCAGATTAAGAAAGGCCATTTTTATTGCTAGTATGCTAAGAATTTTTATCAATGGAGGTTGAATTTATTGAAACGAGGGAATGGTTTCTCTCCTCTATTTTGTTAACAGTGATTTATATTGAAAAAATTTTGCATGTTAAATCAGTCTTGCATTCCTGGGATAAGTCCCAATTAGTCATAATGTATTATTTTTATATGTTGCTCTATTTGACTTGCTAACATATTGTTAAGAATCTTTGCATCTATCTTAGTATGTACTATTAACAACTTTTATTCTTGGTAGACTATATTTGTTACTTGCCCTTTCAAAGAGAATCTGTGGGTTATAAACTTTATGAATCCTCTATGTCTAAAATTGTTTGCCCAGCTAAAATAGGCTAGCTGAGTATAGAATTCTACATTCAAGTTTATTTTATCTTAATTACATGAAGATATTGCTACTTTGTCTTCTCAAAAACAGTATTACTAATGTTATTCTATTTCTCATCCCTTTGCAGTTTATTTTTCTTTTCTATGTAAAGTTTCTCCTCAGAAGTGAATTTCTTTCCATTATTTTCTTAAGTTTCATTTTATTGTTTCTAGTTATGGGTGTTTGTTCTTCTGTTTGTTTTTCAATCTTGCTTGGTAGCCAGAGAAACCTTTAATCTTAGGAGTCATGTTTTCTTCACTTTAGGAAAATTCTTCGTCATATTTCTTTAATATTATCTCCCCTCTATTCTCTCTCTTTTTTCCTTCTGAAACTTCTTTTAGCTGAATATTTAGGTTCTGGACCTATTCTTGTCTTTGACTTTTCTTTAATATTTTCAGTATTTTGGGACATGTTCAGGGAAGTTTCTCAGCTCCGTTTTCTAGCACATTTTTTAATCCCTTTGTTTTTTTTTAATTAAAATACATTTTTTTAATTAATAGAATTTTTATTTTGTTCTTCTTCATAAGCACCTGTTCTTTATCATAATGTTTGGTTCTAACTCTTTGAAGCTAGTTTTTGGAAGAAGTTACCTCCTTTGGCTCTTTGAGAATATTAAATATTACTTTAAAATCCTTTTTAGGCTGCATTATGACCTTTAATTCCTAGGTTATATGTTCCTTTGGTGGTTGAGTTTATCTGTGTTTCTGTAAAGACATTGGTGTTACTTAGCAGTTTTGTCATTCTTAGCTGTTTGTACAGGAATTCTTTCCACACTCTGTGGCAGGAATTTCTCCTAGTGCAGTGGCTTCACAACTGTGTAGATACTAACCTTGAAGATGACTTAGCTTTAGATTTGTCTGCTGGGCAGAGACATATCAGAATTTGTTTCCAAGAAACACAGCCCTAGTTCCCGCTTCACGATAGTAAAGCAGCAGACTCTGTGGTGGTTTTGAGTTTGTTTTACTCTTTTAGAAATGCTTCTCCAATTCTGGTTCATGAAACTTTCTCTTACTTGAGTGTGGCTAAGAAGTTGTTCATTTAAAAAATATGTATATATCATTTTAATGGGTTTTGTGTAGAAGGGAGATATTTTATCAAATTTCTCATGTGCCACCTTGAACTTAAAAAGAATCACTGATATTTCTAGTTTTCTAAAATATTTTGTAAAGAATAAGAATTATTTTTAACATCCTTTCTGCAATGACTGAGTTAAATATTACTGTATCCTCTGTTGTGTTGACATGATATATTACATCAGTGATTTCTGAAGAGAAGTTATGAGTGCCTCAGCAGCTGTTTGCTTGATGTTAAAGAATATTTAATAGTTCCTCTGGGGTACTTTTTATTTATTTTTTTAATTTTGTATTCCTTTGTTTTGTTTTCCACTTCCTTGTTCTTTTAAAAGCGAGGTCTACTTAAGTCTGGTATTAGAATTTGTATGAGTGGATTTCCCTAGATCTAGTTTTATCTTCAAATGATGACTGGAAGAATATTTCTCTGACTTTACTATTTCACTCAGACTTTGGTCTGAAGATCTGGTTGCTGTGTAAAACATTTAGTTAAATTTCTAGTATTTAGTTGTTATTTATCACATTATTTTTCCTAAATTTTCCTGCTTTCCCGTTGGGTCATTTCTCTTTGTGTGGGGAAATATATTCCTGGAAAAGTTGAAATTGATTATTATATTTCAGCTGAGTAATAGTCGCTTTTTTTTCTAGAGAAAAACTATAATACTATTTTTGAAATGAAAC